ATTTCAAAACGTTAGCCTATTTTGATGTGCAATTTGATATCACCAGCATAAAATAGGGTCCCCCTTCTATACTCAACAGGGAGAAGGTTATCAGGAAAACCCAGATCTGCATGGCTCTCCATGATGCCCATGTGCTTCTTTCCACATCAATGACTCCAAGGGAAGGTCCCCCTTCACCTGCAGTGTCACCAAGGAACGTGACCTTTTAGTCTCACATCCTATATGGAACTGCATCATTTTTTTAAAAATACCATAGATAAACCAAAAGAATTAAGAGTCATTTAACCAAAGTGCTAGAAGCAGCATGTTACGACTCAGTGTTAACTTGCATGTTTTACAGGACACACTAAAGACCTAACAGTGCCTCCTTTTCTTTCCTCTCCAAGATATTCTTGTTATTCACAGTTCCTGTCTTCCTCCCATGGTATCATGTCAATTCTGGATGCCACTACCTGTTTCCTGAATGAAACTCCAGTTCTCTTTACTGAAGAAAGAATCCTGGCTTTGTCTTTACTCTTTTGGCTTCTTCTCTCCAGGCTTTGCCAGCTCAAAGAACAAGCCTCAAGGGCTCAATACCTTAGAAAGAGAGAAAGGGGGGGCTTTATTCCTATGCCATATTGTTTTTTCCTGCAATGTGGGTGGTAGCCTATATGCAACAGAATACATACATACATACATACATACATACACACACACACACACACACACACACACACACACACCTCAGTTTAGCAACCATCCATTTCTTCTTAAAAAATAGTCTAGCCTCATAGTCTAGCATGATTGAGCTGAGTATGTTAGTACCTTCCCTATGTCTATGATACGAAAGCCATAGCTTAGGCTGAGCTCAGAGCAGGCTGTTATGGAGAAGTGACAACATTCTTAGCCATAATTTATTCCTGATATACAAATTGTTTTCCAGGCAGAAAGCTGTGGCATTATCAGTTCATTCCTGCCAGTGTTAACTTGAAATCTGTCTCTCAGTATTTTCTGTCTATAATTTGTTTACCTAGGATATCAACTTTGCCCCATCTAATAGAGAGATACAAATAATCAATCAAAAACATATTCCTTTCAGGAAATTATATAACAAAAGGCAGCTTCCATGCCTTCCTTTGGCATAATTGCCATTATCAGAGCCAGAATACAGAACTGTATGAACAACTATTTCAATGCACCAAGTTTTTTTTTTAATTTTTATTTATTTTTCTGTTTATTTATTTATTTATTTGAAATGGACTTTCATATAGCCCTGGTTGGCCTGAAACTTCCTATGTAACTGAGGCTGAATTTCTTTTAAGACTTATTTACTTTATACAAGTACATTGTAGCTGTTGCCTTCAGACACACCTGAAGAAGTCATCAGATCCCATTACAGACGGTTGTGAGCCACTCTGTGGTTGCTAGGAATAGAAATCATAACCTTTGGAAGAGCAGTCAGTCCTCTTAACTGCTGAGCCATCTCTCCAGCCTGCAGCAAGTTTTAAGACTCTAAAAAAAAAATATATCAGTCTTTACTTTTTAAAATCCACATGTTCTAGAAATGTTTCCATTCTACAGAGCAGGTGTGGTCTCTTTTTCCTGATATCTTAGGCTGAGTCATAGGGATCTCAGTGCATATGAGAGCTCTGGGAGTTTGTTAAATAGAATGAGCAAAAGGAAGCATGGATGATGGGAGGATGGAGGGAAGGATGGACGGATGGATGATGGATGGATGGATGATGGATGGATGGATGCATATAGGCTACAGCAGTGCTCCATATCATTAATCTGCAGGTTTGAAATGTTGTTGTCCAGGTAGAATTAGGGCAAGAAAAATGTTGGCCTGATTCTTATGAGATACAATTGCCTTGCTGTGGTGTTGTAACTACAGCCCAAGCTGAGCAAAAGCAGAGCGGTCTCATAAACATGATTATGCCAGATGGGGAACTGATTAAACAGGCCAGCTAACAATATCTGTTCATCTTAATTAGGGCATAGCTTGAAGATGACTGCCTGAAATCCAATCTCATCACAACCAGAAGCAATGGAAATTGCCAAGCACACTGCTTCCTCCCTAAGAACATGAGCCTGGGATGGCTGTAATTTCTTTTAAAAACACATTTCAGGGGAAAATTGATCTGATTTGTTAGGGTATCATTTGAGGATGGTCCAAATTACAGAAGATAAATATGGAAAATGGCAAAAAATGTTGATGATAAGCAGAACAAATAGAGGCCACCCTCTATTGCTTAGAGCTTAGGCATTTTTTTTTTTTAAGGAAAATGAGAACCCACATCCTTATTATACTTTATTTCTTCCTCCAGGGTGCCAACATGCAACTTCTAAAGCAAACAATAGATTTCACTCTTCAGTCCTGATGAAGCTCTGTCACTAAGTGCAGCCTAAGACAAGAAGGTTAGCCATTTTGAGGTCCCCAGTCTCCCAGTGTGCAAACGGCAGAGGGTAAACTTACGATCTTATACTCATAGGCTGGACCAGGGTCATCAAGTATCAGCAATGTCTACTCTCTGAAGCCACCTGCATGCTACTGCTCCTTTAATCTGGTTAGGACAGATGCTGTTACGTTAGAGAGTTCTACAGCCTTGAGCAATTAAACAGCTTTTCCCTGGTCACATGGCTAGAAAACAGAAAGTCTGTGAGTGAAAAATAGGAAATCCTGTTCCAGAATCCTTTGTTTCAGAACCTGACACATTGGTTTTTTTTCTCCAGAAAATATCTGTCATGTGGACAGAGTTGGAAGAAAGGGGGATGGACCAAGGATAGGTACTGAGGGGCCTCTCCTAACATCAATTTAGTAATTATTACCTAATTTTTTATAAGCCTTCTAGTTATAAGTCAGTTTTCTCTATAGATCAGCCTGCAAGGGCTGGGTTTTGTTAGCAAGCCAATTTATACAGTGTATCCCACTTGATGAAAAAAGTGCTCAAGGCAAACTAACAAATTCACACCAATATTGACTCATCTGTCTCTAAATGTGGTTAATGCAGGTCAGTCCAAGAGAGACAACCCACACAGCTTTCCTAAAATGATACCTTTGAGAGCTAACAAGATCCAAATGTGGGCTAGAGTAAACCTGTCCAGGTCATGCCCACCTTTGGGGTCACTTACGGAGAACTGTTCATTAAGTGGCTAATAGAGGATAACCCTGTTTGAATCAAACACAAAAGCATAAGCTCCTCATTAGCAGGATTGTATGTACTTGAAAGTACCTGGGAGGTAGCCAGTGGTATTTACACAGTCATAATTGAAAGGCTGCAGATCATTTGCCTCTAAGTATCCAGCCTCAAATGAAAAAAGGAAATTATTTTTCTTTTACCCTCTAGGGCCTGCAGCCTGGTTCTATGTTTCTCAAACTCTATGGCAAAGAGCATTAACCTTGGAATTTTCCTAGTGAATAATGAGAAATATAATTATAAAATGTACCTTTGAAAAGTCTTTATCTGTGTGAAACCATTTCAAGACCCCCAGCAGGTGACTGAAACCTCTGACAGCAATGAGCCATCTTAGACTCTAACCACCCATACCTACATCCTGAAGATAAGGTTTAATGAATCAGTTCAGGGCAATGAGAGATCAACGGTAGCCAAGAAGAAAGAGAACAGTTGCAGTATAGTGAAACTTACGTATGTGTGGGGACCACTTTCCTAAGTGCAGTCTGTAAGGGTCTAGGCCACCTCTCTTGCTCTCATCCTCAGGACTAGTTCACCCACGATTTAGTCATCAGGCCTGCTCCACTGAGTTGCCCAATCAAGGTGCAGGGCCCACTCTCCTGAGTGCTATAGCCAGTGGAGGGATGGATGGTTAGCTCTCCAGTTCTCGTGCCTTAGAGTCTAATTCTCCCAACTACCACAGGTGATAAGGGAGAGGGAAGAGGGCATCTCCCCTGTACCCACATCACCTTATAGCAGATGAGTGGCAAGGCCAGCTCTCCCGTACTCTAGCCCCTGGGGCTGGATCACCTGTGCCCTTCCACCAAGGCCAACTCTACTGTGCTACCTAGGTGAGGTGCAGAGCCTACTCTGGTGACTGCTGTAGGTAGTGAGGGGTGGAAACAGCTCACCAATTCTCATGACCCCAGGGCCGGCTCTCCAACTGCTTCAGACGGTGAGGGATGAGCTGGAGAGGTCATCACCCCCAAACCCATACCACTTCATGACAGAGGAGTGGTGGAGGCAGCTCTCTAGTGTTCTTGCCTTTTTATCTGTGCTCCCTCTCTGCCAACTGTGCTGTCTAGGTGAGGTACAGGGTCCGATCCCCAAGCTAGTGAGAGATAGGGCTATCTCTCCCATAACCATGACCCTGGGCAGCTTTTCCAAATGCCAGAGTCAGCTCTTCTACACTCATGCCTTTGGGACAACTCACCCCCACCTCCACCACCAGGGCCAGCTCTAGTCTTCTGCCCTAGGTGAAGTGCAGGGCCCCTTCTCCTGAATACCCACTCTTCTGAGTGCTGTCATCAGGAAAGGGTGGGGACAGCTCTCCAAATCACCAAAGCCAGTGAGAGGCAGGGCCAGTTCTTCACAGCCCCTGTATGTCCATGTGGACCCAGGTGGCTGCCCTAGTCAGGGACATCCTCATGTTCTCTAGTGGTAATATAAGCTACAGACATGGCACTCAGTGGTAGCTAGGCTGTGACATCAACATTGCCCCAGGAAGAAGGGTTGGCCACTTACAACAAGCTCCCCCTCTCCACCCTCGAGTCTCCAGTTCCATCCCTCTTCATAATGCTCAAGCTGTTACACTTCTCTTTGTTTCCCATCTGTCCAACCCATACTTACACATTGTGCTAGATCCCACTGTAGGCTGGCCATGCAGCTGGCAGGCCCCCGGGTGACACTCTCAGCCAGTGCTGCATGGCGTCACACCACGCAGGTGCCTATGGCCCACCTGTGTGTGCCTGAGTGCAGATCTGTGGATGGCATGGTGGTCTACATCTCTCTGCTTGTCTTCCTTCTCTCTCACTGTGTTACCTGGATTTGATTTGGCTTGATTTGATTTTATGTGTCCTAGGCATAAAACAGCTTCGGCCACCAAGCAAGACATCAAGCTAGGATGAACAAAGAACTGCCATTTGCTCTGCCACTGACTGATATAAGAATACCACCACCAAGATGTCTCTTTGCCCATTGCTTTAGGGGGTGGGGATGTTATTTTTTTTAAACCTGTCATCAAGTTCAATTTGTGCTATACAAATATTATTGAGCAGAGGTCCATTCCCTAGAGCATGATCAAACTGCCAGGGATCACATTCTTAAAGAAGAACTCCGTCTCCCACTAGCTACCAACTGCCAGTAGTTCTTCAGCTAGGGATTGTATCTTTTGCACACCTTCCCACTTCATTCTGGGACTTTGTCTGATACATGCAATCATAACAACTTTGAGTTCATATGTGCAACTATCCTGTTTGTGTCCAGAAAACTCCCTTTCCTTAGAGTCATCTACCATTTTTTGCTCTTACACTCTTTCCATTCTCTCTTCTATGTTGGTTTCTGGCTTTGAGAGTAGGGGATGTGATAGAGACGTTCTATCTACGGTCTCTTATTTTCTGCACGTTGACCAGTTGTGTTCTCTATGTTGATTGTCACTGCTTCTCTGATGAGGATAAGGAATGCACTGTTCTATGGGGATACTGATTAGTCATTAGGAGTTATTGTAATAGTATTCAAATTTTGGAGAATATTGGTAGGTTCTCCCCTGGGGCTAATGACATATCTAGCCACAGATTTTTGAGCCCAACCACAGTACCACCATGTTCCCTCTCGCATCCATGTGGGAACAGGCCTTAAATCCAATCAGAAAGTGTTGAGTCACTATGAACGATTTGTGCCACAATTGCACCAGCAGGCATTCTCGCCAAGCTAGTCATTAGTGTAGTTCACAGCTGGGTAAGACTGATGATCACTTTCATTTCATTCTCGGCAATTTCCGAGCATCTTCCAGCACTATGAAAGCTGCCCAAAGGAAAAATAATTAAATCATACCTCCAACTTCTTTTCAAATAAACTTTGATAGTCTCTACGTTTCCTGTAAAAAGACATTTACATAACTCTCATTATATATCTTCTGGGATAGTAAAGCCCTTAGTCTAATTCAGTTCAGCTAACAAATAAACATTCATCGTGGATAGACTTCATTTAAAAAAAAAAAAAAACCTGTAGGTTTTGTGAAAGCCACAGAGTTGAATCTTGAAGAAGGAACTTACAGTGTGAACACTCAGTATTTTTAGTTACTTTAGTTTTATGGATATTGAACTTCACCAAAAAAGCCATGGAAGGAGACAATATTAGCCTCAGCTAACAATGAAAAAACTAAAATGTGAAGTCAGACCCTTCATTCAGTGTCAGCTGAAGGTTGAAACAACATTTGTAGTTGCTGAAGTTTCACTAGATAGCCTTATATCTCTTTACTATAAACCTTCATTTAAGAAATATCAGGTAGAATGTAAGACACAAATGTGGCTGTGTAACAGGAGCCTAGTGACTTCAAAGGGTCAAGAAGTATGTTATTGGGCATTCAGAGAAATGGACATGCTTCCATTTGGGAAGATTAAAGAATTGCTTTTTTATGACAGATATGACATTTGAGTGGGGTCAAAATAAGAAGTAAGTCATTCCACATGGTAAAGTAGAGAAACAAACTTGGGAAGTTTTAACTGATTGAAAGAGAACTATCAAACAGTTATGTAAACATAAGCATTCCCTTCTTTAAAAGTAATTGAATCACAGAATACTTCTTATGTGTAAGAAGAGAATCCTCTCTTCAGTTTCTGATGTGGAAAGGAAACCTCTGGATACAGCCTTCAGAAACACAGGAGAACTAGGCTGCCTTTCGGTTCATAAAACAATGAAGAGCTTGCTAGAAGAGGGAGTTTGATGGGGAACAGATTCTCACAAAAGGCACTACAGAAAAATAATGTTCTAAGCCACAACAACAATAAAACATTTAAGGTAGTATGGTGGTTTGTATATGGTTGGCCCATTCAAAGTGGCACTATTAGGAGCTGTGGCCTTGTTGGAGTAGGTATAGCTTTGTTGGAGTAGGTGTGGCCTTGTTGGAGGAAATGTGTCACTGTGAGGTGGGCTTTGAGAAGCTCCTCCTAGCTGCCTGCAGATCAAGATGTAAAATTCTTGGCTCTCCCAGGATCATGTCTGCCTGCATGATGCCATCCTTCCCACAATAATAATATTGGACTGAACCTCTGAAACTGTAAGCCACCCCCAATTAAATGTTTGCTTTTGTAAGAGCTGCCTTGGTCATGGTATCTCTTCAACAATGGAAACCCCAACTAAGACAAGTAATTAATAGTATGATAGAAGTAGATAAAGGCAAAGACATTTGACCAAACAGAAAAAGAGATGCTCAGTGGTCACAGTGCAAGCACAAAACAATCAGGCCCTGTGTCCTCCACAATGTTTAATCTACCAATTGAGTTCAATGTGGTTTTTGTATGCTATGTAATATTCTATTTAATTAAAATTAATTGTGTTGTTTATCAAATAATTTGTAACTACAACTGATAAGAACTATTTTTTCTGTGGTATATAAGATTAGAGTAACCAAGATGATATCTGCTGTTTGATGGCCTTAAATGACTTGCTGTGGATTCTTCATTGACTCGGTAGGTATTGAATAGTACTTATTCTGTAAATAAGGATATGAAATAGACAAGGATGTCTTGCAATTGATCCTATGTGACACTTTCTTGCCAGAGAATATGCTGACGTCCCTGCATTAGGGAGTCAACTCTCCATTACCCTTCGCTGCTTGTCATTTCCAATCATTGAGTGGCAGCAACATCAAAATGATGCCAGGCTTGATTATTTCCTCTCTATCTTTTTAATCTTATATTTTTGGTTGTGAGCCTAGCCTTTAACGGCTGAGCCATCTCTCCAGCCCCCTCTCTATCTTTTTAAATCATGTAATGTCTTTTGTAATAGTTCTAATTTCTTGATGAAGTCACTACTGTTGCTGCTTTGGTGAAGAAACAGAGGACCAATGCTACAGATGAGGAAGAATATAGAACCAACCCTATAGTCATTCCAGAATATCTATTCTTCTTCATATACTATTTTGTCTTTGACAGCTATGATACTTAATATGGATTGTTGTCTTGAGATCTACAGTCCACTAAGGCATGCCTCTCAGTGGGTCTGTGAGGCTGTTTCTATGAAGAACTGGCTGAAAGCAGAAAAGCTTACCTAGTGTGAGTTATACCTTCCTGCAGAGTACAGCAGCTCAAAGGACCTCCGGAACTGGTTGTCCAGATAAGAATGTCTAAGAAACCACAGAGAAACACAGATATTTACATTATGATTCAAATAGTAGAAAAACTACAGTTATGAAGTAGTAACTAAAAAAATTAATTTTATAGTTGGTCAGTCACCATGACATGAAGGACTTATGAAAAATCTGTAGCACTAGGAAGGTTGAGAACCACTGCTCTAGAGAATCCTAATACAACTCCAAAGTTAAAAATTCAGAGTAGGCATCTTTAGTAAGAAAACAAGCTACACAATCTAAAGTTTTTCTCAGAGATGATTTATTAGAATGTCTATGTAAAACATCTTGGTTTAGATTACATTTATAGGATGAGGGCATGAGAAGATGGCTTAGTGAGTAAGAACACTTGCTCTGCAAGCAGAAGAACCTGAATTTGAATCCCTAGAACCAATATTAAGAAGCCAAGCATGGCTATACATGCCTTTGCCCTAGCACTGGAAATGGAAGACAGGTGTTTCTTAGGAGCTTGCTGCCTAGCCAGCCTAGCCTCCACAGCAAGCTTCTAGTTCAATGAGACTCTTTTCAAGCCATCAAGTTGGAGAGAGACAGGAGAAGATACTCAATATATAGCTCTAGTCTAGTGTCCACATGAATAAGCATGGGGTGGGCCACCTATACACTCACAGGTATACAACATGAATATGAATGCACACACATGTGCACACATGTACAAGTTCCCAATTAATGAGAACTTTATATTATCTGATCCAATACAGCCTAATTCAGTGGTATTTGATAAATGGTCATAAGTGAATGAGTACGAACAATGAAAATATTCCATGGTCCCACAGCTATAAATGCATTTTAAAAATTACTACCGAATGACAGAGGTACGGCAAGTAGAAATAAGCTATTTCAGTTTAAAACACACTCTTTCTGGGACTTGAAAAAAATGTCATGATGTGCAGCAGCAGATGACGCCAGCAGGGTTCCAATGCTGAGAAGCAGCGCCAGTGCCAGTTTTCATAACTTCACCCATGTACGAAAATTTCTTTCCTCTCATGAAAGATCATATCTAAAGTTTAATAACGATCCAGAATCAGAGAGAAATGAGCAGTTTTCAGTCCTCTGAAAAGTGAATGTTCAAGTATAGTGAATGAGGTTACAGACTATCATTGCTTTGCATTGAATACATGCATAAGAGGGGTATAGCCCACCCTCATTTCTTCTGAGCTATACAGGTGTCCTGGCTGTTTGACTCTCATCTCTACAAGACATACCCACTCTTCTTCATCTTGCTCACAGTCTCAGTCTATGAAGATGCATTTCTCAGGCTCTCCCTAAGTGATGTCTTTCTAGTCCAATGCTCCAATAGGAAGAACTAAGTAGAGAAAGGAATGCTTGGGAGAAGTAAGAGGCCTCTGGTGTCTGATGCCAACAGAGCGGCAGTTTCTGGAGATGGCTAATGGGCTTTGCTAGGATCATCCTAGAGTCCAGCAGCTCAAGGGACCTCCAGACCTGGTTACAATGGCACCCCATCAGTATATTCAGAACTGTCCTCTAGTGACAGCAGCAGCCTGGGGCTAGGTACAAGCCTGTGGATGGTAGGCAAAGGGAAATCCTTCCTCATCTGAATGCTACCATCTACCTCCTGCTCCTCCAGCACCCAACTCCCTTGTTACCATCTTTCTGTCTTCTGACATTCCATGGTTCTTCATACTCTCTCTAGATAGTTGTTTTCTTACTTCTAAAGTTGGGATAAAGACTATCTGATGGTAAGGAGGTGTGAGATTAGGCCGAGGGATGGCTCAGTATTTAAAGGTGGCTACTCCAAGTCTGATGGCCTGGGTTTTATTCTAGGGATCAGCTAGTTCTATGCAGTCTCACCTAATGGAAGAAGAGAACTGGATAACTCAA